GCACAGAGACTTGCTGAATTTATTTCAAATCATTCTGCAACTGTTCACCAGTGATAAAGGCAAACACATTTTCTGGCTTAATATGGTCTCTGAGAAATTCATTTGGATGGGGACCAGGGCCTGTTGCTTCACGCCACTCTCCAGCCTGTGTTTTTGTACAAATCCCAAAGTTACAAATCCAAACACGTACCAAAAGGAACTCATGGTATATAAACTTGAATTTCACAACAGTGTGTGATGGATCAGCAGTATCACAGCCCTGCAAATATCAATATTGTTTTGACAAACAGTAAAATCCAACACTGACATGATAAAGACAATGGCCAAATGTAGCAACACATCTGCCCACAGCAGGGAAACAACTGGACAAAGGCCACTCTGAGTCACAATAAAAAAGGCAAACCCCCCAGAAAGCCTTGAATCAATGTCTTTCCATATTCCTGCATCCCAGCACAAACCCCAAAGCAACATGAGGCTCTCAAGCAAGGCTGGCTCTGGCCTGTGGGACAGAGCAGTGAAGCTGCTCCAGGCTGGAGAGATTTAAAGACTTTTTTTAAAAGAAAAGCTTCAGAAGTGCTGGAAGATGCGACGTAAAGCGGAAGAGAACATAATGAAGGACTGGATTTAGTAAGGACACTGTGGCTGGACATTTCTGTTCCTGAAAAACAAAAAATGTCCCCGAAACGCCAGCAATCACAAGGTTGTTACATAACCAAAACATCCGTCAGAGCACCCATCATTCACACAAGAATCAAAAGCTTCTGATTCACAAATATTGAGTTCACACACTTGAGAAGCTCCCAGAAACACACACAGGGGTGGATGGAGCTGCTGTCCTGGTAAACATCACCCCTGTTGTGTCCAACCCTTGCTGCTGGAACAAAGCATGCCTGCTCTTTACATTGGCCTTTCAGCACACACTTTTCCTGTCAAACCAGTAAATTGTCTTACACTGGCTTGGATTGGCTTAGTTCCACGTTGGCACACAATTCCAGCAGGTTTGGCCTTCGCAGCAGATTTAAAAATGGTGGAAACACAAAAGATTTCACTTCAAAAAGTTCATCAGGCTGGAGGAAATCTCACCACTGGGGGCAAAGAGAAGAGATTGGACATGAGGGATGATGTAAGATTTCCTGACCTTAGCACAGGAAAACCAGGAGGAAACATTGGGATCTGGAGACAATAGAATAATCAGCCCAATAATTAAGCTGATTAAGACCCTGCTGGCCATGCTTGTTTAGCAGAACCAAGACCAAAAATAGTGACCCCACTACTGCTTCTGCCCTAGACAAAAGTGAATTACAACTATTTCAGGCAAAGGGGGAACTGGAATGTGAGCTGAGGGCAAGGGACACCCAGGGACAATTCAAACCACCCTGCCTGGTCCAAACCCAGGGCAAGCTGAGATTTGAATACCTGAACCAAGAAAATAAATGAAACATTTTGGGAGGCAGAGGCTGATGCCTGAGCTTTTTTACACCATGCAATTTCGCCAGGCACAAAACCAGCAGCTCTTCCTGAGTAACAAGGGGAATATTTGCATTTTCTTTCAAGGGTGCTGGCTGGCAGCTCTGAATTTCAACTCCTGGGTGTTTTAAAGCAGTGGCAGGTTTTGCATCAAAAGCTTTCCAGAAAGTTTCACATTTCAATGCAAATGTTGTTAATCCTCCACAGTGAGCCTGTAATTAAGACACTGATTCCACAGGGTACTGCAGCACCCAATAGTCCAGACAAGGTTTAAAGGCACCCACCCACAGCAGCCACAACCTCCATCAAGTTCCTTCCCAGCCTCAAGCCTCAGATGTGCCATCTGCTCCTGGCATCCATCCTTAGGGGACATCAACAGCCCCAAAACGGGTCAGGAACTGGTGAAACACCACATCATCCGTGATTACAGCAGATGCAAAACATTCCTTTCACAGGAGACATGGAGCACCACTGCAGTTAGTCATCAGAGATGAATGTCCAGTGCCATAATTAGCTACAAAATATTCATTAGTTCTCCAACTTATTCACTTAGGAGAAAAAAAAAAAAAAAAAAAAAAAAAAGTGGTGGACTGTGCACCTCCTTTTTCTAAAAAACCTCAAGTGATGTGCATGTTTTATTCAGTTCCCTAAATTTCTTTGAAGGATGTTTAATCTCTTCCTAGGAGGACTTAGGTCAGAACACAGAACTACAACCTCATTTTGTGAGATGGGTACTGGAACCTCCAAAATTCAAATTCAGCATTGGAACAGATGACTTGACAGCAGGCAGCTGGAAGTGGAGGACGTCAGGAGCCAGGTCTGAGGTTAATTCCCAGCAGCCTTCCTTGTTCTTTGCCTCTGATCATTTAACAGATCGTTTTTCTTACCAGCACCTAAAGAGCAGAAGAGCAGCCCCAGGCCTTGACTGCAGACATCCCTGCTCAGAGCCTGGAGCATGAACCAGGCTGAAGGGCAGGTCTGGAGCTGCTCTAGAGAGCAGGAAGGCAGAGCAGAAGCAGGTTAATCTGCCCTGAAAAGGGGGCTGGCAGTGGGGCTGGGGGCACAGCCCCCCTCCCTCAGAGATGCAAACACAGATTGTTCTGTACCAAGCCCCCTGTGAGCTGCTGCTGCCCCACTCATCCCTGACTGCTCAATACTCATGAGCCAATGATGAAAACCAAACCCATCGCTTCAGCCCACAGACAGGTTTGGAAGGATTCAAATATTTATGCTGACTGAGAGTTGCATCCCCTCCCATGCCTCCTTGCCCCCACCCTGCTTTCAGAGCAGGACTGAGCATTTTCACTCCTCACCCCCATGGGCAATACCTGCATGGGTGTGAGAGTTTCTCTGCCTTGCAGGGGCAGCACGTGTGCACTCCCAGTCCCAGCAGGGAGCAGGGGGTCAGGAGCAGCTGGGACAGGGGCTGAACGGGCTCCTGGACAGCACAGAGCACAAAGCAACACTCTGGGCCAGCTCCTTGGAGCAGGGGAGCTGCAACTGGGAACAGGGATGAGTTTTGCCAAGTGAATAATTCCTTCCCCATCCCACCCTTCTGGCAAAGCCAGCAGTACCTTCCACTTCCAACAAAGGGCATTGGCAGCGCTCGGCCAGGGCAAGGACGTGACCTTTTGCTCACAAGCAGCAGATTTTCTGCTGTCCCCAGTCAGCCACCACAGCCCAGAGCAGGGTCAGCTCAGGTTCTGCTGCAGATCCCATCTGTCCAGGGACACCACAGATCCCTCCCCAAGCCCCTGTGCCCTGCACAGACACACCTACTGCTGGCCAGGCCAGCAGGCAGAGTCCTCATCTTGCTGGGCACAGCTGGGAGCCACAGAGAGCTGCACATGGATCACTCCCCTCCTCAGTCACCTGCATAAAGGCCATTAAAATTAACAGAATAATATAAATCTGCCATTGTTTCCCCTCAGCACAGAGGGAAAGCCAAACCATTGCTAACAGGGGTGGCTCAACAAGGTTTATATTGCCCTGGTAAATGCAGAGGCTGCAAGTTGCATCCAATTCTGAGCAGCTGCATTATCCCATCCAGGGAACTAATTTGACACACAACCACAGAATTACATTTATGTTTAAATCTCACTGACCAGCCAGACTTTTTTAAAAGTGAGACCTGCCTCACTGCAGACAGATGTGAATTTTTCACATTCTTTCTCTGATTTCCTCACCTAAACATGAGAGGAAGGAAAAGCAGATTCCTCTCCTGGGGCTTGTCCGGCTGTCTCAGGGGAAATGAGGGATTTGTTTACAGGCAGGAGGAAGCAGCTCTGAGGGTTCATCTGAGCAGAGGAAGCAGAGGCAGTGCAGGCAGCTCAGCACTTGACCTCTGCTACCAATGCAGTCGTGCCAAAGGCTTCTGCCCTTTCAGTGTCTGCTGCAAACAGCTCAAATAAAAGCACAGGGAATTATCCAGCCCTTCCAAAGAACCTTCTGCTGCAGAGCCTTTCCCTAAGCCATGGTACAACTGACCTGGGCAATTAACAGCAAAGCCTCTCCAGCCCAAGCAGCTGCAGAGGAAAATATCTATTTGGCAACCCTGAGACCCGGCAGGGAGTGAGGGGGAGGGAGAGAACGGACTGAGGGATGGATTCTCACGTTGCTTTTAGCATCTCTAAATACCTCCCTCTTCCCCAGATGATAATTTTCTCTCCGAGTCAGGGTTGGAGAGGCAGCTGAGCGTCAGCCAGTGCAGGGGCACAACCCTCCCCCGGGCTTCCACGCCCGGCACACGCGGCTCCACACCCCCAGCACCACGCCAGGGCTTTCAGTTCCTTTTCAGAGTACAAAGAGTGGTTCATCCGAGCTTATCTCTTCTGCAGCCCCACTTCTCCCAGCACAGAATCATCCCCAAAGAATGTTTCGGTAATGCTGCGGTGCTCAATTTCAGAGGGACACTTAATCTTGCTCCAGTGGCTCTCCAGGGCCAACTTTCTGAGCATGAAATATTTAACTGTCCGTGGGCGTCCGCTATGATAATAAAGTGACTGCTAACCAGCCACTGAAATGAGCGTGTGAGGAGGAGAGCAGGAGCTATCAAATACACAAACCAGCCTAATTACTGTCTTCCTTCCATCCCCACAAACCCCTGGGCACTGCTCACACTCCCCAGCAGCAGGGACCCAGCAACACAACACTTCGAAGACATTGGGATAGTCAACAGGGAAGAACTAGAAGGAGGAAATCAGGAGAAAGGTTGGTGAAGGGCATTATCAAGTCTTTCTCATTTTGGGGATGTGGAAACGTATCCAGCTTGCCTCAAAGAAACCAAGCCCTGTATTTGAGAAAAAAACTTTGAAGCTGCTTGCAATTCTGCTACTCCCCCACTCCAATGAACTTTATCTTTTGGCATTTAACACCTTGCAGACTCCCAAGCGAGCATATGCCTGTGAATGCCTTGCGAGAGTTAGCGGAAGCAATGGAACCCACCCAGGACCCCTGAGGGCAGCATGGCACAGGGGAACTCCTGCTGCACAGTCATTCCTGGCACAGAGGCTCTTTAGCAAGCTCAGCCTTACCTCATCCCACTCCGAAGCGAAGGATGGGGACTTCTCCAGCCGCTTCTTCCCGGTGCTGCAGTTGGAGAGCGATTCGCTGCGGCTCCCCATGGCATCGTCCTCCGTCGGGGAGCAGGTCAGCAGGTCAGAGTCCGACTTGGACAAGCTGCGGCTGAGTTTGAGCTCGGCTTTGGGCTTGCTGCCCGGGTGGGCTCTGCCCACAGCTCTGTCCCCCTCTGGCTCAGCACCGCCGGGGTGCTGCTGCACGTGGGGCGTGACGGCGGCTGCGGGATCCGCCCGGCTGACGTGCTGCACCGTGGCGTACACCACCGTCTGCGTGGGGTCCGGGGAGCTGCTCCGTGCTGGTCCCGACGAGGTTAGCTCAGCATCCTCCAGCTGCATAGCAGCGGGGTGGCTCGTGGCTTCCGTGTCCCCCTTCTCCTCGGAGGAAGCGAGCCTGAAAGGGTCCTCGCTTATTTCACAGATTGGAGAAGAGCCGTGGAGCAAGCCTGAAAACTGCTCTGGCACCTGGATGTCCTGGCTCTCGGCAGAGTCCTGGCTGCGGCCGCCGCTGCTCCTCCTGTGGTCTTCAAGGGGATGAAAGCAGAGAGGAGGGGGAATTTAAAAACATGGAAGAAGCAGCAGGAAAATTCCAGCTCTCTCCCTGCTCTCCCTCATCAAGGGAGGGAGAGATCTAAAGAGGGAACAGTTCCGTATTGTTCCGCGTGCTCGACTTGTACCCAAAGTCATGGCATTTATGAAATTCCAAACACTGGCCCGATTTACGCAATCTGGCAGCTCTCCGTGTTTTTTATTCCTGTTAACACTAACTATCAGGCCTTGCTATATAAGGCCAAGAGAAGTGCTAACTATATCCTGCAGAGAGAGCAAGTGAGGTGGGAGCAGCAGGGACGGAGGCTCCTGGAACATCTGATCCGTTTCCATAAAGGCCAAAGCGTTATTTAGAGCCGCGCGCCCGGCTCTTGGCACGGGCTGCAGGGTGGGAAAACGCCTGGACTGCAATCGACCTGCGAGTTCCAAAATCCGCTCCCAAAAAAACCCACTGCTTCCCTCCCTAGTGGCTTCCGAGTTTAACCTCTCCTCCCTGCTCAGGGGAGAGAAATAAACAGTTTATGCAAGGAAAAAAGTTTGAGCAAGAAGTGTCTTTTGCAATGAAGTGAGCACAGAGTGGTCAGAGCTGGTGGAGTACTGGCTGCACCAGAAATGTGACACTTATTCCCAGCTCCTCCTGCCCCAGCAACCTTAATATCAGGTACCAGGGTCCTGCATAAACCATGAAGAATTGACTGATCCCAAGTGCTGAGCGTGCACACGCACACACACACACACACACACACACAAACATGCACTCACCTTTGTCACAGCTGAACGAGCGGTTTAACTGCAGAAGCAAAACTTTGTCAAGCTAACAAGTCTAACTTTGGTTTCCTAGGATTCCTTCACCCTCTCAGCATTGCTTGTGAATTTGAACTGCTTCCATTTAGTGCTGAAGAAACTCTTCAGCCTGAGAACTAAAAATTGATACTGCAAAGGAACAATACAGCGAAACACTCCGATAATGAGGCTCTGAAGTGCAGGGAGGATGTTTGGATCTGAAGAGGAAATCACTTGCTTTGCAGACAGCAGCCCTGGGAAGCCAAGGCAAAGGAACCCTCCTTTCTGTGAGCAAAACAGTGAGTTCCACTAAAAGTAGCCTGTTAGCAGCAGCAGAGAGCCCAGATCAGCTCCCAGCACCTTTCCAGCACCAAGCCTGACCAGGGGATTTTTTTCCAACACCAATACCCTCTGGGATTTGTGGTCTGTCCTCACCAGAACTGGGCAGGAAAGGGCTGAATTAGTCATTTGCCTTTGTGTGGGGGTCCCAGGTACCCCGTGCCTGATAAGTCCCTCTCACAGGAAGGCCAGGAGCAGCCACAGCCCTCACTGGGATCAAGTGATGTGAGGGATTATCTCATCCTGGATCCTATGAGTTACAGATTCCAGGACAGTGAAGTAGTTGTTGACTCTCTTGCACAGGCACATAAACCACCAGTTCTGTGACTGGAGCTGCCAAGGGGGAGGCAGGTCCCAGTGCTGGCTGAGAGGGACCAGCAGCAGCACCCCAGATTACAAGGCCAGACTAAACTCTGTGACTTTGCATAAAGCTCTGAAGCTCCAGTGCTGGAGAGAAACCTCAGAGGACAAACCTCAGAGGAGATCAGATGTGCTGCATTCACAGGACAGACTGGTGCTAATGCAAAGCCACAGAGAGGCGAGCAAGACAGCAGTGATGGGGCAGTCACATAAACCTGTGGGGAAAGAAAAACTTCTGCAGTTTTTCTTCCCAAGCTCTCCACTTCCTTGGAAACCATTTCTTCCATGCCCCAGCTGAACCTTTACTGACATTTCTGCTGCAGGCAGAGAGGCGGCTGGCCAAAGTTTGTGCCACGTGCTGTAACACTTGAGTCCAGCCAGAACAAAGTGCTCCAAATCCAGCTCCAGCACCTCACAAAAGGGTTCCTGTTGGACAGGAATCCCAGCCACCCACTCATCTGAGAGCTAAGAGGGACTCTGAAACACAGGGCAGCTGCCAGGGAAGGAAGGGAGCGAGGGCAACAGCACTTGCTCAGAAATTGTGAGAAACATCTTGAAGGAGACATTTCAGAGCCTGCCCTGAAAGCTGCAGACAGAACTAATGTAGAAAGGCATCTCAGTCTTTTTGTCACTGAGGTGCACAGAGCAGGAACATGCAGGGCTCTCCAGGCTTCTCCTTTCAGGGGATCTGAAAGAATCACCCTCCTCCTCCAGTTTGATGTGAGTTACCCTCAGAAAGGGTCCCTAGCACAGGGACTTCTGCCCAGCTCCCTTCACGGATTTCACTCCCTTCACTGATTTTACCCCCCAACACAGATCATTTGACAGATCCTGCCTTTTTCAGCCTCTGCCTGATGCAGGTCTCACCCATAGGAGAGGCTGTTCCCAACCCTTCCTGGGATCAGGAGCCCTTCCTGGGTACAGACTGTCTGCATCCCAGGGAGAATTCCAATTAGAGCCTCCCTGCCAGCAGCCTGAGGACTCCAGATATGAAGCACCTCCCTAAACACTCCACACTAAGCTGTAACCACCCTGCCTCCACTGGATTTCTTTCCCTCTATATCAACAGCAGGATTTGTCTCACAGCCCTGGATTAGGAGAATGAAGCTGTTCCTGCAGCTGCTGCCTGCTCAAGCTCCCCAACCTTAAAATTAGTGAGAGCATACAGCAGCCTCTGATCTGCACGTGGAAAAGGCTGCCTGTGTTACATCATGCCAGAATTTGTCAAGTGAGGAGCAGGACAATCTCCCTTCTGTGAAACAGAAGGCCAGAGGAAGAAGCTGGCCTTGAGGGGTGCAAAAATATCCTTCACCTACAACAGAACTGAAACACAGGCCCACTCCACAGCCAGCTGAGCCCAGCTGAGGATGGCACACTCCTGTGGTAACCTCACCCAGCTCAGTCACTCCAGGCAGGGTTTATCCACCTGAATTTGTGCTTTTTTGTACTCCCCTCTTCAGAAAGGGCAATGAGACACTGCCCTGCTTAGAGAGATCATTAATGTGATTCTGCACAGCACCAAGACAGCAGAAACGCAGGCTTGGGCCCTGTGGGGCAGAAGTCTGTCCTCTGTCCACAGTAACACCACGTGAGGACATGGAGGCTGTGGGTTTGTATTGTCCTGCATCTCACAGCAAACCAAGAGCTGTCCCCAAACCTCTGCCTGCAATAACCAAGTGTCCCCACAGAACCCCCACAGCCATGTCCACCCTGCTGTTTCAGCAGCCATATTCTGGCTCTCAGAAAAGTTTCTTTCAATCTCTCTGCAGCGTGTTCTGACTTTATTGCTGGCTCATTCCAGCTCTCTGGTTAGCAGCACAGTCACACTGTGCTGGCTGAACCAGTATAACCACACAGAAAATCTCTTACAGGAGGAAGGGCAAAGTGGGGACTTCAAGCTGGACCTCCCATGGAAGCAGCACAGAATAACCTCAACAAGTATCAGTTTGTAATAACTACCAGAAGGCACCAAGTCAGTCCTACCTGCAGCTGGTCACTGCTGACAACACCTGGGTGTGACTCCTGAGAAGCCAAACAGGTCAAAACTCAAGTCTTTTCACCCTCCATTAGGTCTCTATTTGTCAGACAAATCCATTTCCCACATCTCTGGAGGAGGCAGGAGCTGAGAAGCCTCCTCCTGGTCACTCCACATACATTCCTCCTCTTTTGCCTTATTTTCACACCCTGCTACAGGGCCTGAGTGCCCTTACTTCAGGCATGTGACTGCACACCCAAGTGGATGGGAGAGCATTTGGCTTAAACCACTTCTGATATTCTGCCCAAAACACGAGGCCAACTTCTCCCAGTGCTCCAGCATGTGACAGCGAGCTGCTCTACCACACACAAAGGCCACCAAAGCCAGTGGATAAAGCCACATTCATCTGCTGGCTGGACACAGGACAACTGGCAGCCGGAGGAACAAAGGCAGCTATCACAGATGAAAGGCACCATTAAACCCACGTGCCTGAAATTCAGCCTTTCTGCTGCCCTGAAACGCCCTTTCAACAGCCACAAGAACCCAAGCCCTCCTCTCCTGACCAAAGACTGCTCCAGAACTCATCCAGAAGGCCAGACCCTCAGACTGAGAGCCAAGGAGCAGTTCAAAGCCATGCTTCAGCCTGTTCCCTGTCTTGGGATTGAGCTGCTGCCTTTGATGCTCCAGGACTCTTCTGACCCAGAGGTGGGAAAATTCTCCCAACACCCCAAGTACGGCTTTGGTCTCTCCCTCAACTCTTAAGTTTAATTCTGCCACTCCTTAAATTTATCTTCTCCCCCCACCATCAGCCACAGTGGTGACTGCATTTAAAGAATGGGAAAGTCAGGGAAGATGAGGAAAAACTCAACTGTATCCTTGGATTTCTCCCTCTGTAACAGTGGGAAGAGCTCCAGGCTTGTTACCAACACTTTCCATGGAGTGCAAACCATGAAGTCACAGCTTTGATCTTTCCAACTTTACATCAAAAGATGAGACTCTGCTCTGGATCCATAAAAATCTTCCTGCAACCTCTCCTGTCTTCAGGAGTTCAGGGGAAGAGATCTGCATCAAGAACAGGCAGCTGCCTTACTCTGAGGTTTTATTTTAAGCTGCTACATAATTAGGACATACCTCCACTCTTACCAATCAAGCCTGGACAGCACAGCCAGGGGAAGGAATGGAGCAGTTGGAATAACCAGCAATAGCTGCCCACTGATGAAAGCCTGAAAGCTTTGCTCAGTGGCTGTTGCCCAAGGGCTGTTCCTGGCCTGGACTGCAAAGCACCAACCTGAAAAGCTCTCAAAACTTGCCTCTGGCAGTGAGGGGCTTTGGCAAGTGCTGGTGGGAACACAATGACCTCTTGTGCCACCCTGGAGCAGCCAGGAGAGCAGCAGGACCCGAGCAATAATAGCTATCATGCTGCAAGGAGGGGACAAAAGCTGCAGGTCTGACAAAGCAGTCAACGTGGCATCACCTCAAGTCCTTGTTAGCCCTGTCCATCCTCAGAGGGAGAGGGGCTCCAGTGTGAGAACCCAAACTAAATCCACCCGAATTCCTGCTCAGGACTTCTGAATAAAGCGGAAATCTTTTCCCTCTAAACAAATCTTTTGTTGTTATTGTTGAAGGAAAGCCAAAAAGCCAACAACAGCTAAACACAAGAGACAAGGTGTTCCCAGATGCTTTGTAAAGTCCAAAGTTCCTTCACGGGGAGTAGAAATTGCCTCACCATCAACCTGTGTACCCCGTGCTCTCAGACAGTTCTAGTTCTTGCTCTACACATTTTTGTTTTCCTCCTCTGTTAGTTTCCATCTCAAATTAGCTCTAACACAGAGCAGGATGTTGATTTTACAGCAGGATAGCAGAAACCTGCAGCGCCAGCTGGATGGAGAACACGGCTCACTGGAACACTCGTGTTGCTCATCTTCCCCGGCAGAGGCACAGCCTCCAGCCTCTCACCCTCTGCCTTTGCTTGGCCAGGCATGAGATTTGGACATTTCTGAGTTCACAGAGCAGATCCTTGCAATCTCTGAACTGTCCTACAGTGGAGCTGCCCTTCCTCTGTGTACGCTCTGTACAGGAACGCTCAGAGCTCTCCTTTACACAGATTTTACCAGGAAACTCAACAATCACCCTCCAGCCCCCACCCAGCAGAGACTTTCATTGTTCCACTTGCCCTCTGCCCTCATGTTTTCCTGAAGCACATGCAAGCAAACAGCTCTGCTTTTTGGATGGTCACTCACCTTTTGTTTTCCTGTCCACTGCAACCGGCTTTTTAGTTTCTGCTGTAAGCAACAGCTCGTAGGGGTGTTCCTCTTCCTCAGCTCCACTTCCCCTGCTCTTCCCCCGGGCAGCAGAGGCCTAATGAAGAACAGCACAATGTGGTGCTCTGCAAAGCAATGCTTTGTCCCAGCATAAACCCCACAGCCTCTATGCCAGAGGTTAAGCAAAGAATTGGCAGAGGCAATACCTTCACTGCGAAGTGTGAGCCAAAATGCAATATTCCCCTTTGGGTTTTTTTAACCCACTCCAAGAAACCCCACCCAAACTCCTTTAATTTTTAGTATTTCAGGCTGCTGACAGCTTTCCAGCACTGACCAACTGAGCAAGGGCTGCAGACAGCCTGGAGGGGGAAAAGAGCTGAGACCGTTATTCCTGCTCATCCCATCTCAGACTCGCTGTTGCTATTGGAATTTGCACAGTCATTCACTTTTTAGCTGTCGGCCCTATTAGGACAGGGCTGAAAAGAACAAAAGCCCAAATCCCTGCCACCCTCTCAGATCTGCATTTCTGACCTCAGGATGTATGGCATATTCAGAACTAAAGAGTCCTCAGGCAGCACTGTATGAACTCAGTTTAACTTCAGGATGTGCAGCAGTGATTGTGCTCATTTAAATCCCCCAAAGCCTCTACTTAGAGCTGGTTTGCAACCCTGGCAGACTCTCCCTGAGCTGTTCTGGAAAGCCACCAGCCATGTGCAGGGATGAGGTTTTGGTGCAGGATCCAGACAAGTCGTGCTGCACTCACACGTGTTGGTCTGCATTGATGCCAAGGACGATGGGCACTGGATACCCTCATGTGCCATCCCAGGGCTGAAGGGGGTAACTGGCCACCAGGGCACCCTGCCAGCACAGTCAGCTGCCTTTCAGCACCATCTCCTGGCCAGACCCTGGCAGACTGATGCAAACCTGTCCCAGGAGCTCAACATGACCCAGGAATGCACCCTAAGAGGCTCCAAGAGAGTTGAGGAGGGACATGGTGTGAGAGAAAATTGTGAATGCCCTGGAAGGCCAAGTTGGATGGGGCTTGGAGCAACTTGGTGGAGTGGAAGGTATCCCAGCCCATGACAAGGGCTTGGGACTGGATGATCTTTAAGGTCCCTTCCAGCCCAAACCACTCTGTGACCCCACGTGTGACTATCCCCAAACAAAGTGGGACAAACCCAAGGCAGAAAGCAAACAATACAAACAATCCCTACCTGCTGCCAGGACAGGGAACAACAGGTCTGAACAAAATGTGCCTCCAGGGAGGGCTCCTACTGCTCAGACCCCTGGACCTGCCACTGCCTCACCAGCAGAGCACAGCCCACCTCCTGCTTCTCCCCAGAGTGGAAACACCAGAGCTGCTCCAAGGGCAAACTGGTGCCTACCTGACTGCAACCCAGCCAGGAGCTCTGGAAGCTTAAAGGAGTCTTGGAGAGGCACCCAAGACTCAGCAGCACAGAGGATTCTGACATCCATGTGCTGCTCTGCATGAACCCACCTGGCTTTTAATGTGACTTTCCCAATGGGAGGAAATGGGCCATGTTTGCCATGGGAAATATTTATTTATTCTACCTGCTTTATCAGGATCTGCCAGGCAGACCTGCTCCTTTCCAGGTGAAGGAGCTCATAATGAGCAAATTAGGGAAAAATTCTGACCAGATGGTGGCACAAAACCGTCAGACCAGAACAGCAGGTAAGAGGTTCTTGACAGTGATCTTGGAAAAATCCTGCCCAGCAGCAGCCTGTTAGCACAGCAGCAGCCTGGACCTTCAGCCAGGCTCTGGTCACTCCTGACATTCCTGTGGATGATGATTCCTGTGCTGTCCTCTTTAAATGCACCAAAGGCAGAAGCTCTCCAGCAGCACACAGTTTCCAGCTTCTATTCTGAACTGTCACAGGCCTGGTGACTCTTGATTTTCTCCATCTCTTCCTTCCAAGTTCCAGGTTCAAATTCACTTAAAACAAAAGATCATTGCTGGAGAACCCTGCTTGCTCTGTGGGCTTTGTGACCAGGAGCAACCCCACCAAGTAAAGCTTTATTCCAATTCAGCTTTTAGTTCTTCAGCTGTGTTGTTTGCATGTAAAAATGTTCATTGCTAGCAAAGCCCAAAAATAAGATGCTGTGAATAATGAGGATGCTCTTTAAGGTGTACTTAATCCACAGCAGAGGACTTTGAAAGACTTTTTAAAGGGTAACTCATCTCTTCCTCTCCTCTCCCTCCCCAGAGCTGCAGACCAAACTCCTGGAGCCAACGTGGCGCCTTGTCCTTGATCTGCACTTCCCTTCCGGAGACAAGCAGTAAACAACTGGAACTGAAGTTTAATTTGACAGTGCAGATTCTCACTCAGCTCCAAACCCAGAAGGTTTCTGCAGATAGTGAAAGGCACCACTTAAGCACCTCCAAACAATTAGCTCCTTTGCCTGTTTGTACCAATGCTTTTCCGTGATGAAAGTGAAGTTTCTTGTTTATGCTCATCTGTTTTGACTGATAGCCCCAGCTTGGCAAGGAATAAAAAGACTACTTTGGAAAACTAGAGTTTGGCCCAACCCCAGAACACTCAATGACTAAGTGTCCTGGCTCCAATGGGAGAGTAGGGCTAGAGGGTGGCAGATTGGGATGCTGCAGCGGAATGTTTACAGCATTCCTGGAGCATGTGCACACCTGCCTAGCCCAGGGAGAGGTGATAAAAGATGGGCAAGAGTCAGAAAAGCAGAGCAGGCCAGAAGGAACAAGCAAAGTAAAAGGATCAGTCCCAAACTCCTCATCAGTGTGTCCAAAAGGTCATTTCCAGGCAGCCACACGCTGCCTGTAAGTTTTGTCACTGAAGTTGGTCACAAACCAAGGTCTCCCCAGCAAGTCACTCTGCCATTTGCCAGCAAGATTCCCTTTAATGGACTGTGCTTCCAAAGCCATTAAAGGCAGGACAACACAGCAGGTGTTTGGTAATTAAACATGGCAAGAAAGCTCAGCAGGAATGGTCAGGGCACGTTTCCCTCCCGCGTGTTTATTGTCATAAACAAGTTCTGCTTCCCAATTACTCCATGACCTGCTGCCCAGCTCTCCTCTGCCAGAGCCAGGCACAGGACTGGGTACCACCCCCTGCATTTGATCAGCAGTGCAGGGATTAGTCCACAATGTCACATCCCAGTTCCCTTTTCACACACAGCTCAGAGTTTACTCCCTCTCTGCAGTCAGTTCTACTACAGCAGGCCATGTTCACCCGCGTCTTCTGCGGATTTGACACTCTCCAGAAAACAGAGCTCATTTATGCCTTGCAGAACTCCAGCAGATCAGCACACTCAAAGAAAGCATCTGCAGAAGCAGAGCTTGCTCTGACAGCAGAGGTGGCACACGCTCCATGAGCTTCACACACAACCCACTGCCTTTGGGAGAGCACAGAAATCCACAGGATTTGGATTTGCTTTGAAGCTTTTCCTGGGTGTCAGCAGAAGTTGCCAAGGCACACTTGTGGTTTCCCACAGCCATGTCTCTCGGAGAGTCCTTACATCTGAGGTTCACAGCAGGTCAATAAGATAAGCAACAGGAAGCCCCAGCAGCAACAATGTGAAATGGGAGAGCTTGAGTTCCATCAGAATGCAGCTCACATGCACTGACCCCTGCAGAAGGCAGCTTTAACACATGCTGGGACAGATCCTCAGCTGAATTCAAGCCCCTGATCCCTGCTCATGTCAGTGGGACCCACAAGCCTGTGCAGCTCCTCCACAGCTGGGAGCTCAGAGGAAGCAGGAACTCACAGCCCCTCTGTGTTCCAGTCCAGCTGAAGATGCCTGTGGTGGGATCATTACTAGAGAGCAATGGTCCACATTGCAATGTGGGTCAGAAAAATCTCTTCCTAAGGGAATTCTCAGCCAAGAATAGGAAAGTAAGGCTGAAGGTCAACTCTGAGGTGCCCTGGAAGAACCGGACAAAGGAAGTTCCCATGGCAAGGGACAGCAGCAATGCTGAGGGAGGGAATACTTCACATTCACAGCCCAACGAGCACAGGAGGTAACAGCACCCTTGGCTCCTCCCAGACTATTAAAACTGATGCTTAAACCACTCTCCCATGAAACACCCCAGAGCAAGCCCCATGTACCTCACAGGGAGCACTGTGGCCTGTCTTCTTCTCCACATTCTGCTCCTCCTCTTCATCAGGCGGGGGCTTGGCCGGCGGGGGAGGACGTTCTCTCTGCAGGTGAGACAGACTCTGTCAGCTCATCCCTTCTGCCCCCCAGCTCTATGTCCCCACTGCTGTGGATGAAGCAAGAACCTCTTAAATTAATCTGGGTGGAGCAGAAGTTTATCCCTAACAGCCCAGAGCTGGGCAATGGCTGCTGCCTTTCCTCCTCCTCTTCCTCAGGACACTGATCTGGTCCCACCAGTCTCACTCAGACCCAAACCAGCATCTCCAGGGCATTACACAGGGCATTGAGCAATGAGCTGATCAGAATAAAGGGCTTGTGGCTTAGTGAAACTGACGCCAAAGGCACCCTTTATAGTGGAAAACTCCAGGGACCAAGAAACTAAGCTGCACTGCTCTCTTCCAATATGCCAGGATTGCAACTGGGCAGCTGGAGCTGCTGCCTGCTCTCGAGCACAACCCTGGGCCACCTCCTGCCCAGCCACAGCTCCATCTAATGGCAAAGGGAGCAGCAGAGCTGCACTGCTCAAACTCCAGCCAGCTACTGGAGCATCTCCCTCTTCCTGCTCTCTTTTCACTGCAGTTCAGCTCGTGTCTTTCCTTACTTGTGACAGAACTGAGCTCATTTCACCATCAGCACAGGACAATGACAAGATCTGATCAGTAACAGGACTGCCTGGTACTGCACACCTGAGAGATGTGCCCAAAATGTGCACCATCTAAAGCTTATGTCTCATTTCTATTCTGCTTGCTCTCAGCACAAGCCAAAGGCTGCACCTCTTTGCACAGAGGGGAACCATGGTTACTGTGCCCCCAGCAGTTTAATTGTTCACTGTTGCTCTGCCTTTTGTCCAAAAACGCCTCCACAAAGCAGGTTTTGGAAAACCAAGCAGAACACAGACCCTGAAGCTGACCCAGCACTGCAGGGCCCGTGTCCCATCTGCCCCACAGCAGCCTTCCTGCTGATCACTACCAAGGCAGCAGATGCAGCTGACAGAAGGTGAGGAAGACTTCTCTGGGGAAAGTTCCAGGAGCTCTGTGCTGCTTTGTAAAGCCTGGAGTACCCTCTACAGAGCTCTGCAAGTAATACACAAAGAAACCCCCTTCCACTGACAACTAGTTTCCAAAAGGTTATTACAGATAATTTCTTAATAGCTGTAGCTGTGGTAAAGCAGTGAGACATGAGAAGATGCTCCACACAAGTCTCCAGAACTTTTTTCAGGACAAGAAGTCAGCCCTTCTGCAAAATGTAATCTCCTGACAGACCAAGATTCACTGGCACCTGTGCACTGCCAGAAAACAGAAGGATGCAACACAAGGAGAAATGAAGAAGTGGCTGCTTTTAGGCAAACCCAGTGAACAGGGTAGGGAAGGAGAGACTCCTGCCTGCTCTCATCAGTGTCAGGGAAGGATTTAATTCTTCCTCAAGCTTGGGCAGCCTGCTGCAAAACCCCACCCTAGAGGTGAGCCCCCTGTGCCTCTAGGGCAAGCAGGGGGGAGCTACATACAGGCCTGACTGCAGCTGCTTTGAGGCCACTGGGCTCAGCCTCCTTATTCCCAGACTCCCGGTCGGATGACTTCCCGCTGGCCAGGCTGTCCAGGGAGTGGCAGGACGTGGCGTTGTACAGAGCCTCATACGGGCTCTCCTCTTCAGGGTTCACATCAAAATCGATGATCAGCTCTGTGACAGCTTTGTCCACGTCACCTGCAGGGGGAAGAGAGAGATGGGATTGTCCCTGGATCTCCTGGCCTCGGTGCTGGCAGGGAGAGGAATGCTGGTGATGCCCACCCTGAGACGTCCGGCCCGAGGGATCGGTGGCTGCAGCGAGCGGGGCTGGAGCAGATTTCTCCACAGCTTTGGCACTTTTCTTCCCAACGGTGTAATCTGCAAGGGGGTTGGGGGACAGGGTCAGCTCACGTCAATCTGGCTTTCTGTCCCCTTCAGCACATGGCACTTCCTCCCTCGTGGGTGGAAGGCCAACTGTCAGCTTATTAAGTGTCCAAAAAAAAAAAACCAACATTATTAAAACTTGCAGCTCAGATCCCAAAATAGAAGCAGGCAGCCTCTTTAATCACAGGCACAAGGGTAGGGATGGTTCTTTGAACTTTCAGAGTCTTTAATCAGAAAGCTGCAAAGCTGCTGCACGGACACGGAGTCACAGAGCAAATCTGTGTTGTAGATACAAACTCCATCACTGAACAGAGTCGTAACAAGAGAAACCAATTCCAGCTGCAGCCCCCAACCACAGGCAAAGCCAGACACATTCAGCTGATGTAACATCCAACAGCAGCTCCCTCCTGGGGAAAACTAACAGCCTTTATCTGCAACACCTTCAGTTTTAAAGCCCATCTTTGTCTTCAGTTTCAGAATAAAGCTCAAACATTCCAGCCTCACAGGCACAGCTTAGTTAAAAGTCTGAGAAGTGCTTTGAACCTGCAAAGCTCCCAAATGCTCAGCATGAATAACACACCCCAGCTCCAAATCCTTCTGATCCTCCCCACAGCTGAGAGGAAATGCAGACAGCGTAATTACAAGGTATGAATTTAGCCAAGATGTCACATTTCATTCCCGAATTTGGACAGACACAATGGACCAAGCTCCTTTATAAAACACAAGTAATCAAGGCCTTTTCTGTAAATCTCATCTGCAAATTCCATGCCCAAGCCTCACAAGGAGGCGAGGAGCAGGATGTGAGATCTGTGGACAGTGATTTGCCTACACAGACACGTAAAGGGGAGTTACACCAGAACCATTTCTAAAGCTGTTACTCTGCATTCTGCAAGCAGATTTAGGCTATCCTTAATTTTAATTAACTTCTAAAGTGAGCTAAACAAAGCTCAATTAAGCCCATTTAAACTGTAAAAGTCACGCCACAGTCTCTCAGCAAAGGGCTAATCCTCCTAAATCCCCCCAAGTCCTCCTCCAAACATTTGGTCTGGAGAAGCTCACCCCAGCGTTTCAGCAGGTTCTTCCAACACAGCCTGAAACTGCTTTGATTTCAGCACTCTCCACGTCTAGAAAAGCACATCCTGTACCTGCCCTGGCAGAATCAGCACCCCAAGCTTTCCCCTCCTCCCCAGAGGCAGAGCTGCATTACCCACCTTCAATGAGAGCTGCTATGTGCTGGCTTTTCTGGGAAGGAAGCTCCCTCACAATGTCCAGAGCAGTCAGGCCTCTGTTATCCTTTATGTTCACATCAATACCTGCGGCCACAGGGGTACAGAGGGCAAAAGCAAGAATATTGTCTAACTATGTGCAGGTTCGTGTATTTCATCAAGTCACGTTTGAGATCAGCACTGGGGGGAGCTAAAAGGCACTCTAGAGACAAATCTAAAGCCAAACTCCAAGAGCCAACTTCTCCTATATCCTGCTCCAAGGAGCTCTGACAGCTGGATGGAGAAACCTGCTGCACTAGAAAGGGATTTCCTCAAGCTCTGGGTGAAGGGATCACCACATTAGTGCTTCAAAGGGGGAACATTCTCTCACCTGCAGCCAGCAATATTTGTACCACATCTGTCTTGCCAAACAAAGCAGCTTCGTGCAAAGCACTGCCTTTCTCAGTCTGCAAATTAAATGGAAACATAGCATGAAGCCAGACAGCAGGGAATGGTGAGGGAGGCATGGCTTAGAGGGTTACAGAAGCAATAAATACACGGCGTTGTACACGAGGTGTGGGCAGCACTACCTATGGCTGAGGATGGACTGCCAACGTTATTACAATGCTGAGGATGTGGGATGGAAAAATGGGGATGGTTCCATCAGAGAGACCAAGAAAGGGCCTTCTACAGCTTGGCAAGAGGTCGTGTCCTGACAAGGAAAAACAAGACCCACATCCAAGCCATTGCTGTGAAAACAGCACATTCACAAGTGGCTTGATAGGAAGAGACACGTTTGCCTATCAAGAGCTCACAGCACTGCAGGGCAGCATGGCCACAGGGTGTTTGTCTCCCTCGCTCTGTGTCTGGGGCTTTGCCCAGCCCCTGAGCAGGCGTGAGGCATGCACAGCAGCCGAGTCCCTCCGGGCAGCCTCCCCGAGCAACCCAGAGCTGCAGAGACAGCCCAGCAGAACACAAAGCTCTCCTCGGCTCCTGCGAGCGCTCCCTCTGCGAGGAGGGACGGTGGAGCTCTCCAGTCCCCAGCCACCAGCCCAGCCCCGCTCAGACACACCAGATACCTGGTAGTTGCTGTCCATGCCAGCATCTAGGAGGACGTGGACCACAGCTTTGTGACCGTTCCTGGCTGCCAGGTGCAGCGGAGTGTGTTTCTTAGTGTTGCAGCTCAGCAGGTTGGGGTGGGCGTTCAAGAGCATCTTGACCACTTCCAGCCTCCCGTAGAGCGCGGCCAGGTCCAGGGGGGTCTCGAACTTGTTGTTGCGCATGGTGGGGTCGGTGAGCTCCTCCAGCAGCACCTTCACCACCTCGGTGTGGCCGTGCTGGGCCGCGCAGTGCAGCGCCGTCTCGTTGTCGTTGTTCTGCGGGGCACAAGTGGCAGCGCGTCAGGGCCGGGCCAGCGGCCGCCCCGCGCCTCGCTCCAACATTTAAATCCAAAAACGAGACAAAAAAAAAAAAAAAAAAGCAGTGGGGAAGCAGAGAGCCCAGTCTGAACCAGCCTGAGCAATGTGTCACCGTCTCCCTGGGTGTTTAGTATCCCCTCACAAGCTCATTGATCGGCCAGCCCAGCCACAGCTTCAGGGATGTGCAGAACAACGCCCTTCAGCTGTGGGAAAGAGGGACTACAGATGGAGCAGCCTGCTTTCCAAGCACCAGGGGCAGAATCCAGGGGCCATGCTGAAGTTTAAGGGATGTTCAGCCATATCCAGGTTCCCATTAATGCTGCTGGCATCTGGGAAAGGCAGTCTGGTGTCTTGGCAGCATCCCACACTTCAGGGTGCCACAAAAATAAAAGGCAGGCAACCTGTTGTGTGAATTCTATTTGCTGGAGCTTCATCATAACTTTAGATTTAAACTTCAATTGTTTCAAATCCTACTTATCCTGGTTATAACAGTCATTCCACCTCTGCAATTCTGGCTGTTTAGAGACAGGGTGCACCCAGCCCCATGCAATTTGTGAACCAGAGAACCGTGCAATTCCACCACTGCAGGAACAAGCCAGGGCTCAGGTCAGCTGAGGGAAGCAGTTTCTCAGCGATAAGGGAGCACCCCCAGCTGGAAGCCAGACCCAAACCAGAGCGTGCAGGAGCAGCCAGGCTAAGAACCAGCAATGCAAAGCCCAAAGATGAGCAATCTAACACCCCACATGTGTAGGTGCAAAATAGGAACATGGCCAGATCTAACAGAGCCTTTTCTCAAATTAAGTTCCTCTCAAGTTTCTAGTTTTACTACTGTGTCATCCACAAAGGGATTCTGGTATAAGCACTTTAGAAACAACTATCTGACAATATAAACCAAAAAAAAGTTTAATACAGTTACACACTTCAACTGAAAGAATCGTGGTTGAATTTGTCATTTTAACAACATTTCCAATAAAATAAACAGAATGTTCTTGTCCTGCTGGAGGCAGCAGCACCACTGCAGAAGGGAATTTGATCCCTGCCTGCTGTGAGAGCACACGTGTGCCTCGGGACACTGCTCAGTATTTTGCACCATGTCACAAACTCGTGAGGCTGCACGAGCACCCGGATCCTGCTGAGGTGTTCAGTCACCCTCAGGCTCACGGGAGTCCTGTCAATCCCCCAGCTGTTTGTATCTGGCTTTTGCATCACTTCTCAGCCACAGGCAAAGCAGGAGGGGAGCAGGAGCTGGGAGAGGCTCTGGCAGCTGCAGTTTGCAGGGCAGTGAAGGGAAGGAGCAGAACCAGGCACGTGCAGGGGGAGAGGGCAAACGGGGCAAAGCATCACTGCCAGCACAGAAGGTCCAAGTCAAACAGGCTCCATCCTGGGGGGAGGCACAGACACGTGGACAGAGGGTACTGCAGGATACAGAAGTCTGCACAAAAAATATACAAAGGGAGTGAGAGGGGACAGAGTAGAGAACATCAGAGCTCGCACCTGCCCGTCAGCTCACACTGCTGCTCTCGGGCACTTACAGCCTTGGCAAATCCCATTATTCCCGTTTGACAGGGCTGGGAGTGCAGGGATCAGGGAGCCCACCACAGCTGGGCAAAGGCTCTCAGCCTGCCCCGTGGCACGAGGGACCCTCACTGCCAGGCTTGATGACCCCAGCCCCTCTGAGCAGCAGATCCCCAGAGCTGTGGGGGCACAATCTGCTCGTGCCAGGCCAGCCCTGGTCCTGGGGATTTCCCTGGCTAGGACTGCCCCCCTCTCCTTTCTCCCTAGCACAGGGTATGTATGCCTCAGGGGGTTTAGAGCATTCAGTAGCTCCAAGCACCTGCCTGAGGGCTCAGAAATGGGAACACAACACTGTTTAAAAACACAATTGTTGGAGACTTCCCTCATCTTCCCTGCAATTCAGTCCAATTTTACCTAAGCAGATTGGGGCTCCAATGCTCGAAGCAAAATCCCCAGACTTTCCTCCTGCAGCAGAGATCACCAGGCAATAAAACTCCCCTGAATCATCACAGCAAGTCTCTCCCAATTCCAGACTGTGCAGTGGAAACTCCCACCATTGCCTGAGTCTTTATTGCCTCCATTTTGGGAGTTTTGAGCAGCCAAAAATACTACAGTTCTTCCAGGCAAGGGAGTTTGCTCCCTTCCTGCATCACCTCTCCAGGCACAAACCAGAGCAGGAGTGCTCAGACCTACAGATGTATCAGAGATGGAAAAGGAAAATTCCATTCCAGCTGCCAGAAGGCACATGGCTTCAAATTTCAGAACTACTTAGGAAAATAGAGCGCTCATGAGGGCCGAGGGGCTGCATTCCTGCAGGAATCCTTGCATCCCCCCAGCTCTCAGCTGAAAGAGAGGAGCTGGGAGCAATGCCCGTCTGCAGAGCACAAACAGGACACGAGCAGGGATGGCTCTGCTTTCTGACGGGCTCCAGCACAGGTTACAAGCCCTGGTAATGTGATACCACTCACCACACACAGCCCTGCTGCTCCTCACTCCATGCTCAAGTGGAGAATCCACAGCTCCTTCAAGTGCTGTGTCCGTTCTGCACCCCCTGCTCCCAACACACAGCTCTGACTGAGCACAGCAAGACTTGGTTTGAATAAGGGAAAGTTTTCTGACCTGCAAAGATCTGAAAGGTTGAATAAACTGCCAAAGAAAGGCCACAGAGCTGTCCTTCTCACAATTTCTTGAGAAATTGATGGGCAAATCCTGGTCAGGAATGGTGTAAGGAGACTTGATCCTGCCCCAGGGTTGGGGAAAGTGGCTACACGGCCCTTCAGTCCCACCCACCTTATTTCTAAGATTCCTTGGTAGGATTTTTGTCACTGTCACTGATTTTTGTCACTGTCTGAGTGTCCAACAGAGTCCTGCCCTATTGACAATCTGCTGTTTGGCTGCTCCTGAGAAAATGCCAGTCTGTGTGACAGGTACAACTCCACATGCTCTTCATCACAGCTGGCCAGGAACTGGTACAAAGCTGCTCAAAACTTGTGATGAGCCCCACAACTGTGTGTAAATCATCTCTCCACAGTATAAAAACCAAATTAACATTCCTTCTTCATTCAACATCCCAATACTGGAGTGTGTAAGATTTTACTTGGTTATTGACAATGTTTTAGGAAGCTCCTTTCAGGCAACTGAACTGCTCAACTATGATGTTTCCACAGAATACATTAAGCACAAAGTTCCTATCTGGATTTTTGCAAAAATCCCCGATTTGGATGAGCTTCACAGGAACACATTTGTGCTCAGAGGGTGGGCACCAGCACCCCTGAAACAGGGCTCTGAAAACCACACCTAACTCCCAGCAAGCACAGGAGCTCTGGCTGTGTGTTTCTAAGGTCCTGCAGACCAAGCAGGGGGAAGCTCTGACAGAGGAATCTGCCATGGATGGCTGGATCCAAAACAACTGTCTGGAAGCAGCTGTGGCACGGTGGCTCATGGCAGAGGTGTCTCGGGACAGAGCAGCAGATTGTTTGCCACCCCTGGCTTGTAGATTCACTAGAAATAAAACTGAAAAATGGTCTGAGAAACCACCACCAGGAATTTGATCTTCAACGTCCCAATCCTGCATAGGAATCTTCTTCAACAGCTCAGTCTCAGCACATTGCATAAGCTGATGTTGTGTCTTTTGTAGCTCAAAACAACTGAAAACAAGAGAGGAGCAAAACAAGCCAGAAAACAGGAACAGGAGACCAGGGCTGAAGGGTCAAATGACACCACAGACTGAACATCAAAAGAGAGACTGATGTAATAAGCAGGACATGGAAGACTTGGGAAGGGAGGCAGGAACATCACTGCCCTCCCTTCTCCCCACCACCACCACCACAGGAATTAACTGTCCATTCAAACAACACACAGAGCATTATGCATGGTAGGAGAAAAGGCATAAAAATTCACTCCAAACAGCCCACAGAGAAAATGCAACCATGGTTAAGCAGGGAAAAAAAAAATCCTTCTCTTTGCATTTATCAGCAACATCAGCACATGAAACAAAACCTAGAACATTTAATTGAGGTAACATTACCTTTGGGAAGTCATCCAGCCCAATCAAGCAAACTGACCATCACTGCGAGTCCTACAAGGCTAAGCAAGGAAGGAGCCCCCAGGAAAGTAAGGAAAAGCTTTCCTTTAATTATGTTTCTACAACTGCTTTGAAGAGAGAAACCCACAGTAAATCAATGGTCCCATTTTCCTTTTCCCCAAGCAGCTGCAAAGTGAACAGGTATTATTGCACCTGGAAGCACGCGAGTGCAGCTTGGAGTGATGATGCAGTGAAATGCTGACAGCAAAGTACACACCTTGGCATTGATATATGGGTCAAAGGGGCCGTACTTTTTGAGTTCTTTGATCTCAAGAGCATTCTACAAAAAGGAAGAGGAAAAAGAAAAAAATGTGATAATGAAATGGGTGAGATACAGCAACAAAGCAATGGGTGACTCCAAGGGGTGGAATGGCAGGACACAGCATCTTGTTCCAGTCAGAGCCATGGCCAGCAGAAGCCATTCCAGCTGGGATTGCTGTAACCTGGACCAGGCTCCAAGCACAGCCTCCTCAGCTGACTTCTCTCATTTAACTGGGTTCCTACTAAACAGACATTAATGAAACATTACCTGCAAGGTTCATACTAAGCTCTGGATTTTTGCAAAGATCACCCCTCTAGCTGCCCTACTCAGAGCAGAACATTCACACTATGGGTTCTCCCTCAATTCTTGTCAGATTGATTGAAAGGGTTACCTGCACTCAAGCCCATGCAATCAGACTGAGTGCCTGGAGACACTCTTAACCACAGCCCCAAACTGCACAACTGTCACCAGACATCAGAACACACATCCCTCGTCATTCCTGCTCAGTAGAGGAATGATAGAGAGTTGCACTACAATCAGATTTTTCATTCCATGATGTTTTAGCAGCAGTTATCCCTGGGGCAGCCTGGTGCATCGATTTACCCATCCTGGAAAACTCCAGTGTGGCACTCGTGTCCCCACAAAGAAGGACTGGGACTCCTAAACCTGCCAGTGAAAGGAGTTTGCTCCCCAGCTTCTGAAAACTACCATGGAGCAAATCAACAGAAGGGACTCCACAGCTGCTCACCCTGACTGTGAACTGAATTCAGGCCAGGGGTGTCTGACCCACCTGGGAATTACCTCTGGAATGAATGTCCAGGTTTAGCCTGCTGGCACTGCAAAGCAGGCATGCAAACCTATTTTGGTTTATTCCTTTCCTCCTGAAAGAACACCTGAGTGGTTTAGGAGTTGATTCCCAGGGTCTTCAGATGTTCCTGCCTTAGGGACAGGACAACCACAGCCCACTGCAGCTTTAGCCACTGGTCTGGGCCTGTCACTCTGTGCTAGACTCACCCGGGGAGGGCCAGCTCAGTGACAGCACTCAGCTGGCCTCATTCATTAAACCAGTTCCTGTAAACAAAACTCTGCAACAACAGGAATATTTGGGCCTTCCAGCAGTAGCATTTCAGAAGTTCCCTGGAATTTGAGATACCTCTGATGTCCATGGGCAGTTCCACAGGAGCCAGCCCTCTGCAGTGGACACAGCTGTCTCGTACCCCTCACTCCCTCTGCACCCCAGACCAAAACCATCAGCTTGGCAAAAGGAACAAATCCAAGAGGCTTTTTATTCTTGCCTGATTGAAAAAAAAATATTTTTTTAAGATTAAGCTAGGGATTTATCTGGGGGCAAGTAGTGTTAAAATTATCTTAGAACTTACAAATTAGTGAACTGGAGCAAGTGCCAGAGACAAGCCAGGAGAGCAGCTAAGAGAGCACGGCCAAAGAGACTGAACAAAGCTGCTTGGATTAGTTCCCAAAGGAGGGAGCCAATGGATCCTCTGCAGAACTAGAAACCTGCTCAGCTATCCAGCAGCTGAAAGGAAAACTGTGGGTTAGTTTTAGAAGCCCAGAAGCAGGAGACCACATCCTAAGTGTTGAGCAGTTCTCACAATTATGTGTCTGTCTATGAAACTTAAATACCTTTTCATCCTACCACTAACTCAGAACTGAATGTATTGCTTTAGGCAGTGCCCCTCCTATCCCACCAGCAAGTAGGACCTTACAACCATTGCTACTGGTTTGGGAAGGGTCAGGAGTCAGCTGAAGGAGTCTCTCTCCATGCCAGGGAAGTGATTCAATGATACAACAGAGAAAATCAGGCAGACCTGCTCATTCACTTTGGTGTGCGAAGGGCCCTGGTGGATGAGCAGCTTCACTATGTCAGCATCTCCTTTCCAGGCTGCCAAGTGCAGGGGGTAACAGCCCTTGCAATCTGCCACGTTGGTGAGCGCGTCGTTCCTCAGCAGAACTTCCACAACATCCCTGCAAGAGACAGGAACTTCAGTGAGACATTCAGTCCTTGTTTCACAGCTCACACTCTGCAGCAAGTACTGAACGAGAAGTTAATCTGAACAGGAATGTTTCAGAGAGCCTCTTGAAATGGGATTTGTAAGTGTTCCTATTAAATGCTGCCAAAGGAAATGAAAAAAAAGGAAATAAATAACGCTGAGATGAGGTCAGGGAGGATCCCCATTAACTCCATACTAATGGAGCTGAACAGGGGCTGAAGTCAGCCACAAGCCTCTGCTGCACAGTGAACTGCACCAGCACAACGAGGGTGAATAGATTTTAACTCTATCTGATTTCTCAGTATCTCAGGCAGCAATGAGAAACACGAGATCTACCACACTAAAATGACTTAAAAATGTGATATGTACACGAGGCAACTGTGAAGTGGTGCAGGCCCAGAACACCCCGGCCACCAGGAGGACTGCAGGGACTGTCACCAGGGGAGCTCCTTCACACGGTGTTACAGCTTATCCAAATTGCTTAGAAACAAAAGGGTGGTTGAAAACCTCAGCGTTTGGAGATGTAACATCACCCAGCAGCCAAAGCACTGACATTCTCCACTTCCCCTGAAGATGGAGTAGTGCTGCAGCAGTGCCTCAGCTGGTGAATGAACCACACAACGGTGGCCAGGGAAGCACAAAGCATCCACCCCCTGCGACCCCAGGCTTGGGAACAGGACTCACTTATGGCCATTCAAGGCAGCGTGGTGCAGCGGGGTGTATCCTGTACTGTCAACGCAGTTCACGTTTGGCCCCCTCCAGATGCTGCAAGACAAAAAACACACAGGGAACACTTAGGCAAACACCAAAGAGGGACAGGGCAAGGGCAGGGCTGGCACAGCTCTCACACCAAGGTGGGTACCTGACAGCTGTGGTCAGGGGCAGCACATGGAATCTCTGCTCTGCTTCACCTCACCCTCCTGCTCTCCAGTCACAGCTCCCACTGCTCACATCCTTCAGCCATACTTGCCAAAAAGCATCTTCAGAGGAACGTGTGTCTATCAGACTGAACCACAAGAGACAGCAAACCATCGACCCACTGCTAACTCACACCCCACAGAAGAATTCTGATGGCTCTGGGAAATTGTCCTTCTCCACAGCAAGAGTCACAAGGGGTGGGTGTAAGTCAAAGACTGTGGGATGCAGAGTCTGCTCTTGGTCACCACTGTGATTCCACACTGACTTCTCACTGTCCCAAAATCACTTCCATCTGTCAGCTCTTGGCAGTCTGTACCAAAGAGTAGGTGGTCTCCCAGCACTTCTAAGAGCATTAACTTCCCTCCCTTGCTCAAAAGTCAAGTAGCACAGATTTAAGTATTAACCCTGGCAAGGATTACTCTTCCCCAGCCCCTGCAGGGTGTCCTGTTCACATCAGCACAGAATGGCACAAGCAAGAGGCCAGGGCTGCTCCTGAGCTTGCTGTGGGAGGAGTGTGGTGACTGCTGTCCCTCACCAGGGCCAGTGCCCTCTCCCAGAAACAGGCATGAAACTCAAACCAGTACATTCTTACAAGCAAACTGGAACTGTTCAGCTCTCCAGTACAGCCCATCATCTGTGTGTGCTGGCCTCTTTTACATGCCATCCTTTTAGGAATTACACGGGGCTTATTACAAGCCCTGAAAATCCCATTTATGCTAACATGGTGCATTTTCCTGCTTTGTTTTCTTTGGGGGTAAAACCTAACAGCACCCTCTGATTCCCAGCTGAAATGGTTTAAAATCAGCCAGCTGTGGCTCTGTTTGAAGCTGGCCTTCTCTGAACAATCCATTTCCTCCCCAGTATGAAATCACAACAACTCACGTGGCACAGGGGCTTTCTAGAACAGCAGGCATCACTGGGGGGCTGCCAGCCAGGAGCACCTCAGTGCCACCCAGCAGGACAGGCACCAAACCAAACCAACGGGCATCTCCTGCAGACTGAGCGAACTCCAGAAGGGAACAAAGCAGCAGGCTCACTCTGGAGCATGTTTCAGTGGGAAATGGAAAGTCTGTCCCTGTCCCTTCCAAGTGACTCCTGATCTGCAGAGCATTATAAAAGGCTTTGCAGTCTAAAGAAGAACCCGAGCTCTGCTAGAGGAGAGGCAGCTAAGGGGAAACTTTATCCAAGAGGACAGGCAAGTGAGCCACAAAATCCAATTTGCAAAGGATGAGAGGCTTATCCTGAGGCATCCTGCATGCCACACAACCACCCTGTGCTCCAGGAGGATACACACATGCAGTGCACCTCCAGCACTGACACTGTTCACAGGATGATGGCTTAAACCACATGCAGAAGGTCAGTGAGACACCAAAAACCCCACTCAGGGTGGGTGGGAGTGCCCTGCCCAATCCAGGCTGCAGTCCTGTAGCATGAAGGGGACTGAGCAGCACTCAGCTGGGGTTTGTTCCTGGCAGTGGGCTCCTGCAGTGTGGTTGCCCAAATAATTTATTGCTGGATTTAACATGGCAATTAATGGTTAGAACTAGTGCCAGAAAGCCTCGTGTGCAGTCTAGAGCAGTTCTGACATTGCACCTGTGCTGCTTTTGCTTGGGCTGTAACCTGGGCAGTGCCAGCGTCCCGTGGTTTTACACATTAAACTGAGCAGTGTTTGGAAGCTGAGCTCAAACTGCTTGAGGGTGAACACATGAAAAACCAGCAGCAATTAACACAAGTGTTTCTTTCAGCTGAAGTTATGAAATGAGGAAAACCAGGGTCAGTGGTGCAGTGGGCAGGGCTGGGGATCAGAGCCTGGGGCATCTGTCCCCATTGGAGCGTGGTGTCCCCATGATAAAACACTTCCTTAGAAATCTCCAGGTCAATGCTTTACAGTAAAATGCAAAGTTTGTTCAAGGAGCTCAGAGCAGGAGAAAAGCTGGAGGCCAGGAGGGAGCTGGCCCAGCAGTGAGTGCTGGGTGCTGCAGAAATCAACTGCCAGGATCTAAAGATATTTGAAAAAAAAACATCTGCTGTGTCCTCTCCTCCCCTTTGCCTTTTTATTCCTGCAAATAAAGAAAGCTTTTATCAAAGAAAGGTCAAATCACCCATAAGATCAGACTGGAAGGATCCAAGAGGAGAACTATTTATATTCAGATGTGGGGACTGCAGCGAAGCACATCACTCCCTTCCCTCCTCTTCCTCTTCAGCTCTGCCAGAAAGGCCACACAATTCTCCTGAGGTATGGAAACAGGGTGCTGAGAAAAGCAGATGACAAAGCCTAGAACTCTCTGTGACTTTGGGCTGTTTCTGATTTCTAAACAGAAACCCCAATGAGGAGAATGCTGTAAATACAGTCCCCAGTAAAGATCTGGAGCCAATTTGACCACTGCTGCTTTTTGATTGCCTTTCTCCCTCAATCCCCAAAAAGCTCTTCACATCAAAGAGAGGGGTTACTTTTACCTTGTGCTCTCTGTTCTCAAAGGATTACCCAGGGCTCACCTGTCCTTTGCTGCACCAGGGCAGCATCTGAAGATGCTCCTGATGACATCTGCTTAAGACAACTAAGACTGAACATTGAGGACATCAGGAAAGCTCTGAAAACAGCAAAATCTGCTCCATTTAAACTATTTCTTCTGCTCAGTTTTCTCTTGCTCTGTGATTCAGCAAGGCCTTAAATAAAACTTCCTGCTTGTGAAAACTGCTGAATAAAGCACATGCTTTAGGTCACAGTAAAATCCCAAAGTACCTTTAAACAGGACCCCATTTGTCCTCTTGCTTTTCCATTTCTTTCTTCCCAACTGCAGTAGTAACTTTTCTCCCAAAACCACTTGAGGCAAGGAGCTAAAGCAAGCTTAGAGAACAAGGTGGTGTTTTCAGCTCAAATGATGAACCTTTGGGGCTGGTCACTGGTCCTCACTAACATGGTTAAGGAAGCACCAGGAGAGCTCAGGGTGCTTGTGCAGAGGCCATGGACGCCCTGTATTTACACACCCAACACCTAAAACAAAAAGCAAGATGAAACACAAGCAAACACGAGTGGCTTGGCCCAAAGGCACCAGGAAGTTTAAAGCAGTGGCCCCAGATGTTTGTGTACTTCACTCAAAGCCTTAGAGACAGTGTCAGGAGGGCAGTGAGGGCTGGAGGCGGATTCCCTCGAGTCCATTGCCCAGAGGCCACCACAGCAGGTCAGTCACACATCCCAGCAATCCACATCCACACAAGCACTGCATTCCTGCGACCCTCGATTGGTATTTCCTGCTTACAGAGGGAACACAAACAACCCAAAGGCTTTGAGCAAGGCCTCAGGGCTAGGAAGCTGCTTATGTTTTTCTGAAACATGTGTGAGGAAGGCACTGCTGCAGCCACCTTGGCAGCAGGCAGGGTTTGGCATGGTGGGATTCCAACAGAGCAGGGACCCCGCTTCTTATGCACCCCAACCACCAGACACTACAACAGCTTTTATCAACAAATGGCTGATGCAAGGCTGGAGGAGATGAAAGCAGTGTATTGCTGGGGCAAGGGACTCTCAGCTCCTCCTGGCAGGTTTTGAGAAAGCCCAAGGAGAACAGCTGGTCAGACTCCAGCTACTGGAGCGGCTGCAGAGGAAGCCAAAGCCATGAGCTTCTGCACTCCTCAACTTCTTGGCCCAGATTTTAATTTGCTATAAGAAAAGTGGGTAGATTTTCCTCAAAGTCAAAGGGTCATGAGCTCAAGATGCCAGAACGGACAGGGAAAAGCGACGACCACCATAAAGGCAGGACACACAGAAGTGACCCAGCTGACATGGCACAACACAACAGCCAGAGAGGTGCTGAGCCTGAGCTCTGTACTCAGATCCACTTCCAGCAGAGCCACTGACCAGGGATTCCAGTGAAAATTCTCAGGTTCAGTCCACTTTGACTGACACACTGCAGCAGTCAGAGCACGCCTGGCCCTCTGCACAGAGCCAGACCTCAAGCTCCCACTTCACCAGCTCTTTCTGAGTGAAGCAACAACTCTCAACAACAATTGCCAACAGCTCCAGCCTCATTGCCCAACACCTGCAGACAGTTCAGCCAGTGTAAGGTCAAAAGGGTGCTGTGAGAAACCAGCATTTCCACCAGTGCAGCAACCAATCCTCTGATGGCCAAATGATCCCTTCTCCCTTGGAAAGGAGTGGAGCCTTTTGTTCCTCAGGTGCAGCAGGTGGCCAGGAGCAGGAAACCTGCATGGGTTTGTGAAGCAGCAGCAGACTGTGAAGGATCAATTCAGGAACTGAGAGGCAGGTGATGAGCTCATCTGCTTCCCTCAGAACCAGTCTACCATCTCCCACTCCTCATTTCCAGGGGAGGCTGTTTTGGGTCAGCACAGACCCATGACAACCACACATTTAACTCCTGGGCTTGCAGCTCACACTCGAAAGGAACCAGACAGGGTTGGCATCACTAATAGAAATGTGTCCATCCAAGCTAAAACCCCCCATTAGGAAGAGGTGAGCCCTAGCCTTACAGATGGCTCCTGGCAGTGAAAATGCATTTATTTAAACTTAATGTATGGTGGGGGTGGCAGTGGGGACAGAAAGGCTGGGCCAGGCGTGGAGTGTGTGCTACATGAGAGAATCCCTCTGAGCAGGGGCAAATAAAGAGCTGCAGGACAGGAAAAATATAGGTCTGCTTTGAGTGCACATGCTGCTCTTTATTCTTAAAAGCATTACAGGCACTCTGCAACCCACTCCCATTAAGGAGCATTCCCAGCTGATGACAGGCCAGAGCAGGAGCAGCCCCACAGCACAGGCTCCAACACTGGCTCTGACCTCAGGGCCAGGGCCAAACAAGCTTGGCTGGGAGAAGTGCAAAAAGGGTCAGCCATTG